AAAAAAAAAGCTTCTTTACATTTTTTTTTTATTGTCTTCACTTAAATAAATAGTTATTTTAAGAACTGGAAAAGGTCCTTTGGGGAACCCAAAAGGGTACTTCTATGGCAGGGCTTTAGAGGGTCACTGTCCTGCAGAGTTTAGCTCCAACCCTAATCAAACACACCTGCCTATGGCTTTCTATTGATCTTGAAGACATTGATTAGCTTGTTCAGGTGTGTTTGATTAGGGTTGGAGCTAAACTCTGCAGGACACTCTCCAGGATCGAAGTTGCCCAGCCCTGTTCTATAGCATCAATGCAAGACACCTTTTTAGGACCCTAGGTTTTTAAGAGGATTGTGGGTAATATTAGACCAATAAATCATGTACATTTTGAAAATCCACCAAAAGTAAACTAAATATTATATTTGACCTAGTATGATTTGGATTGCATTATTTACTTAACCTGTACTATTCATGAAAGATAGTATGCAAATTGGTTATTTGTTTGGTCATTAAGTAACATAGTTGGCTGTGTTTGCAAGTGAGGAGTTAGTAGTGGAAACTTTGCCTAGATGCTCTCCCAGTTCCCATGGTGATTGGGTTCCAGTTGGTTGCTATGTGCTATCGGTAGTCACGTTTCCTTAGCGATGCCTTTATAGAGGAAATGATGTCAATGACAGACAGATGCACTTCGAACTAAAAGTTCTATGCCTTATAAGTTACTCAACGAACATTGGAATTATTTCAGGATAGAAAAATAACATCTAAAAATGTTTCTCCTACACAACAGTTAGTTTAAATGGGGAGTAAGTGAAGACATTGAAGTCCTCTTCCTTTCAGATATTTCTTCTAAGAAAAAGATCTCAATGTTTCTCCACAAGACACTAAAATCCACACTCATAAGCACAAGCATAAATCAAAAGCAACATTCCTCTTGCTAGATACCTCACCCAAAGCCTTATGTTTACAGTAACCCTAAACATGCCTCATTTCAGACCCCTAAATGCTTATAATAACAAACCAAACCAAAATGTCAAAGTACAGGCATATAGCTTCAATCTGGAACTGACATATGAGCTGTTAAGAATAAACAGCACACCAGAAAGCCTTCAAATGCAATATAAGTCCAAAAAGTAATCCAGCAAAGCGAATATTAGTCGAGCGTGACTTTTCAACAAAAATTTAAGCCCGGCATCAATTATTCATTCCTGCCAAATGTGTTGTTATTGAAAAGCGATGAGACAGATTGTACTGCCAATAGAGACACTGATGTGTTCAATGAGTTCTGGAGCGGCTCCGACTGCAGAGTGACAATCACAGTTCTGAGAGAATAATCCAAACTCAGAGCAGAACTTCTGCTTCTCTAATGGCTGCGCTTTCGCCACAAGCACAACACATGGTGTTATCAGTTACATCGAATCAATGATGATTCACTTCAGCCCTCACCGGGGCTTTCAACACCTGAGGGGATGAAATCATTTTTCATTTACAGACAGGCAAGTCAACGCTCTAACTCTCCTCTCATTTTCAACGAGGCAGAATGTCTACAGCTTATGTTTTCACCTCCCATCAAAGCTAAAATACTGATTCGGATTGAATTACAAAGAGTGTCTGATGACAGTCAAATTCTGACAAACAACAGTCGGACTTTAGAGAATCATACAGGACATAAACCTTGAGATAAAACCGATGTCATTTCCCTCCGTCAACAACCAAAGATATTTTCTGTTTGCGCTAGGAGACCGCTTTTCAAAACCATCTGTGTAACATTAAATTGTGTAATACTCAAAATATAAGCTTTAAACAAATGAATCTTTCACAATGCCATCAATTAACTCTGAAAAACAGCTGCAATATGGAACGGCACAAATGTAAACAAGAGTAAATAAAAGGCAAAATCATTTCTTACAAGATCTTTCTCAGACAGTTTTGAAACAATCTTTATGAAAATTAATAGAACCACAACGCTAACTCACAAATATAAAATATATGCTTCCCTAAACGTTGTGTAATGGTAAAGTATGTATAATAATTCAGAATATATATTATGTATATATTATTAAAACTGTAACCTTTAACATCTCCAAACAATTGTAATCAAGACTTTGAGCATACAGTGTCTTGGTCTTTATAAAAAATAAAATACAGAAAAATTCAAAAAGGAACTGCTGTCAACAATTAATACATATATGTTCATGGTGCAATAGCATGTCAGACTTAACGAAAGTAATTGTAAAAGTAAAAGTTTACATGTTCCTTGAATTGAATTTTAAAATTGTAATTATTTAGTAATTAAAGTAAGGAGTTCTAGCGCTTGACAGTTTTAGCGTCACATAAAACAAACAAAATGGCGACAACCATTAAAAATTGGTCAGTGAATTTCTGTTGAAAGTCACCTTTCATTACAACCAATTAATGTTGCTTGGTGCTCTTTTTGAATTCCTCAATATTTTTCTAAAAAAAAATTAAAAGAAAGAAAGAAATAAGAAGAAGAATATAATGTAGTCGTTAAGTAGCCTACTGTCCCGCCATCAACAACAACACGGATCCAATTTGGCATCAGGAGCATAAACGAACAATTAGAAAATAGAGCCACAATACAAACAACTCTGAGCAAAATGTAGTTGTAGTCTAATAACACGTTTGTCCTGTTTTTTTTTTTTTAAGTTGTCACTGTCCTTGTCATTTTAAAATGTGTTTTACAGGTTTGCACACAACTCACCTGCCGTTTAACAGCGCGAGCAGCTCGCCCGCGTGGTACAGGTCGTTGCGCGTCACGCGGCTGAAGCGGAAAGCGTTCAGGTTGCAGAAGGTAATGGCAGGAAACGCCATCATTGGTGCGGTGACCTCGTCCAGTTTTGTGACATGGGGGTACTGAAAGTAAAACTTGATGCGGTCCACGCAAACAAGCACCAAGAACGAAAACGAACCCATGAAAAACATGATCCAGATGCATCGTTTGATGCACTGGCGTTCATAACTGAACATGTGTGAGATGCCATGGAGCGTAGACCTGCTGGCAAAAACTTCAATGGGCGCGGGCCGATCACAGTCCAGATTATCTTCAGACTCGGTTTTAATATCCATGGTTCTTTAAGTTTAAATGCTCTTTGAATGAAGTAGAAGCAGATATTTAGAAGGTTGGAAGAACTTCACGCCCTTAGATGGTCAGCTGATCTTTATGAGGAGGTGCATAGATGTATCTAATGACACGATGTGGACACTAGAATGCAGTTACAACAATCCATGCAACATCTTCTTGACGGTCTTCCAGCAAGTTTCTGAAATGTTTTTTACTCGCTCTAACCCTTAAAATGACGTTCGTCGTTGTACAGTGTATTCAGATAGATTCGGTCATATTACACAATATTTCTGACTTGAATAAAACCTGTGAAGTTAAATATTTCCACATGAAGCACAATTGGCATAGTCAAATTAGCGATAAAAGAACAGTTTGAAGAACTCTATTCAAAAAACAGAAATGGTTAATGGCGATAAATTAGCTCGTATTCCACTTAAAGTGTCAAGTCTGTTAATGGACTCGGGTGAACTCCACAAACTGAAGCGAAACCCCTCAGAGCTTAACGGCTTGTCCAGGTATGGGTCTGATTATAACCTGGTTCACTTTGGAGTCTATAAAAGAGGTTTGAATATGATCTGGATGTTTATTGATCCATTATGAGGATGCGGAATATGAAACCAGATGCCTGAAGTGAGGTGAAGGGTTATTCCCATGAGTCACTGAATAAGTACTGTGGCCATATAGGACTGTATATCATATGTGTGCCTAAAGCCGAAAACATAAGCAAGTATGCATTAAGCTCGATTTTATGATATTTAATTCTATCTCTGGTCACTGGTACATTCCCTATTAGCAGAACATGTGTTGTAACCACAAGGCCATGTCTGTGAAGGAAAACCAGAAAGCTAGTAAAGCCTAAAAATTATTCTGTATCATAACGGTGCATACTTTCTGAGCAGGTTTTGGTTTATGAGGCAAACCGGTATCTCAAATCGTCAAACCATCTGTTTGTTGTGGCTCCTATCGTGTTCCGCTTGTGCCATAATGCACGTCTACAGACGCTCTGCATGATAAATTAAATGATTCGTGCACCGAAGTGAAGATAGGCAGGTAATGAAGGTGACAGAATGCTGATAGCAAAAGGAAAGAGTTTATCAACAGCGTCCTAGGAGATTTTACAGGACATCTGCCACCGAGAAAGGAAGCGGCAGCGACATGAGGAAAGAAGAGCGCCATGGAAGATAGACTCCAGAAATCAACTGAATCGTCAGGGGGCAGGAAATGGATTATTAAAAGCATAGTTACTTAGAACTTGTGATCTTTTACCGCAGGGATGTTATAGAGCATAATCTTCAGAGAAAGAAAAAAAATGTCAGTACGCAAAATAAGCTCGAGCATTTGAGCTAAAGTGGAAAAACTGCTAGCAGAGCAGATTAAAGTTGAAGCGCACTGCCAGTAAAGCAGATGTTGGAGCAGTGGCCTAGCACTTAGGATTCATTTCTTAATAAATCTAATATTTATTTATTAGCAGTTATTTATTTAATAAATTACTTTTTTGGGGGTTTGATGAAGCAGCTTACAAAAATACAAGCTAGTTCCCAAAGAGAAAAGTAACTTTAAATCAGAAAACTTCACATTCACTTTAGACTTAAAGTGTTGATTAGACTTAAAAGGATTTCCTATCTAATGCACAACATTAACATTATAGCATCCATCTATTATTCACATTTGAAGTGGCTCATAATTGAGAAATTGTGGTTTCCCACCAAAGTATCAGAAGTTTGTGCAATTTGGCAGGTTTCCTCATAATGTCCTATAGTCAACGCATACCAACTTTTGTGAAGTCTGAACATTGTTTTCACAAGATACAGAACGATTAGTCATTATGAACCACACCCCAAGACATTCGGCCCATATCTGCTATTTTTTTTATAATGTTTTTGCAGGGGCATTCTGCAAATTTCATCAAATTTCTGTGTTGAACCATTCTTTTACGTTGAACTAGTAACTTTAATTATCTATTAGGGAGTATTTTATTTAAATTGGAACCAGACCTAAAAAACAAAAGCGTACACAATTGCTTCGCTCCATGCTGAGAATTCAAGCAGATGCGGCCTTTTCACAGCCTGCCAGATTCTTCTCAGTGAATGGGATCTGAGATTAATAAATTCACGTCTGCTCGACCCCCATGCAGCAATTTTAGGAGTCCAAGAAGCAAAAAGGCTGTTGACCTCACTGTGTTGTAACCTCATGCTCTGACAAACCACAAGCCAGCAAGCATTTCCAAAAAACTGTCTTCTTGGCATTCCGATCAGCCGTAGTTGAGGGAATGTTGGCCGGCCCTTGAGGGATGGACAGATGGACGATTAGCTATAATGAGGTCCTGCAGGGTTCAGCGTGACACGGAGCAAAGACAAGAGGCACATTCAGGAACGTCCAAGGACATACTTGTCTCCAGGAAAGTGGAAGTCGTTTGATATCTTTTGTTTTGGGGGGGAAAGGTTCAAATGTTCTGGATCAACGCTATCAAATGCTTATAGCTTTGTTCAGCATACTACCATACTATTCATACAATCTATGCAGCTGTGCGAAAGGAATAACGACGCTACTGTCTTCAGTAGAGCTGCTTATTGCTTAACTGATCTTATTTCACAATCAACAAACAATTACACAGTTGTTGAACTGAACCGACACTGAACTGACTGGAAATGGATAATGACACTATTGTCTTGAATTTTGGATTTGCCTCCTGTTTGAAGTTTGCATCAGTTTGATTTAGTTACATTCCTGTACTGTAAAGCTGCTTTGTAACAATCTCTACTGTATGAAGCACTATAAAAATAAAGGTGATTTGACTTGACAGTATCCGAGACGGTTTTCTTTATACATAAATCAGAGGTCTTCAACCCTGTTCCTGGGGACCCACTGTCCCTGAGTTTAGCTAAAACTCTAATCAAACACACCCGAAGCTAATCAGGCACCTCAGGATTGCTTGAAATTAGGCAGATGTGCTGAAGCAGGTTGAAAATAAACTCTGCAGGTCATTGGGTCCTCAGGAGCAGGGTTGAAGACCTCTGGCAAAGATTGACGACATTTGCCAAAAAGTGACGTATACCGCAGATAACATTGTGTGAGATTCTGTAAATGTTTAACATTTCATACTTGTAAAAATAAACTTTTACAGAAAAAAAATCACATTAAAACTAGATTGTCTTGGTAAGTGAACAAAACTGCCTGAAAATGACATTAAGAACTTACGTAATCAAATTCATTCAGTGCAAACATAGATTAACCAGTCCATAATCTCTAAAGTAAACATCTCGACTTGATTAATAGCTAGATTGGTGATTAATTCTTGAAATGCTGTTTTTAGATTTCTTTTATATATCTGAACATATATGATCTTCTAATGAAAAACAAAAATACAAACCTTAAATGGTACTTGCAATGTATTGAACTTTTATTTTAATGCAGAGCAGTCCACCGTTTGTTTTTCTGCGTACTTTTGCTGGCGAGGTTGAGCATGTATCGGATGTCCAAAATTACTCGGCAAGGCATTTTCCATGTTCAGCTCTTTGACAACTACTTGCTCTGTTCATGCCAGATAAATGTGAGTCATGACGAGGAATGTTCATCTGTAGGTCAACAACTCATACATGTGCCTATATAATTCATGAGGAAGAGCGTTAACTCACGCAGATCTGCACTTAGGGCAACTATCGCTGTCAAAAGCAGATCTTTATGGGACTTTGTGGGTTGTTCTGAAGACACTTTTTGTGAAATGTTGAAGCATACCCGATCATTAAACTATTGCTGGTTTTTAATTACAGTTGGTTGGGAAGCAATTCGAATCGTCCTGCCACGTGAGTCTGATCAGAGTAATCTAGGGCTTTACCTTATGCCATTTCCAACATCCCTTTGAGAAACTTCATATTAGTTTTTCATTAAAGCTGTACGAGCACAACTTAACAGTCAGAAGTTCACTCACCTTTTCTTTTTCATTATTACTTCATGCTTGTCTTGAGTTTGAAGGGCTGAGAGATGAATTATGAAGGTCTTAATACTGTGCACAACACGTTCTGTCCTCCTGAATTGTGGGGTCATTATTTCTTTCAGGTGCAGCTCCATTTCAATTTGCAATTGTTCAAGCGAGTAATTCCTAAAAGATATAATTCAATAAATATTCATTTATGTTCTACTAATAAAATAAGATGCCTGAATGCTAAACACTTTGGCATGATGTTTGTGTGCAAGACATTTAAAATTCAGGATTCATTTGCTAACCTGATACAAGGTAAGCATGACACAGGGAACTTTCTAAAGATTGGTGGTTGTGCAACTTCTGTGAACCATAATTGCTTGTTTTGCAAATTAAGGGCGAAATTGTTTAAAATGAGCAACTTAATCAGCAAAGTGGAGTATATAAAGAAAGTAAAGACAAAACTTAAAGATACGGTCAGGAGGTCAAACTAAATATTACATTTAATTTTATTTAAAAATATTTAGGCTATATGTCAAGCAAGATTTGCAAATTTCACAACCCTAAAATAGCCTACATAAATGTAGTATATAATTATGTAGGCCTAATTACATTTAAATATTACATTTAATTTTATTTAAAAATATTTAGGCTATATGTCAAGCAAGATTTGCACATTTCACAACCCTAAAATAGCCTACATAAATGTAGTATATAATTATGTAGGCCTAATTACATTGTTTTTTTGCAGTGTAAATATTAAATACATATAAATTAAATAGTCAAAGATATCAAATATAGGCCTACTGTTTATTCAAGATGTGATCTTTCTTAAAATGTCTGTGAAATATGATTACACCCCTGTTGAAAAAATTTTTTCAACTGGGACAACATCCAGTGAACATGTTTTCTTCCCTGATTCGAGTTATTTTACCGCACTTAGCAAGCTTCAAACAGTATCAATATACAGCACAAGCCTCATTCTGTCCGACTTCACCTTTACTAGAAGTGTTCAATACTCAAATGATAACAGCCTCTGAAATCATCCATGGGTGATTAGCTCATTAGCTCAGCGCCAGTCCTCAGCTGTGAACGTGGCGGGTTAATTTACTTCACCTTCAGTCAAATGCGCGGGCGAATGTTGATACCTGGAGACCGCGTGGTCGAAACGCTCCAGCCCAAAATGCCACCGTTTAAATTTGATTGACATAATTCACAATGGATTCAGAGAACAAAGGTTCCCTGAATGTCAAGATTATGGCGCGGAATACACAAGCCTTTCTCATCTCCGGCCGGACTGGTGAGAAACACGTCCTCTATTACAGGATTTAAGCTGCCTGTATTAATTGGTTTTCTTAATGAACACAGCATGCGCGGGCATTAATGTTCACGCCTCATAAGATAGCGACGCTCCTCATTCAGCGCTAAATTATTTAGCTGTACTCGAACCAGAAACCGGTCGAAAATGGGACATCTTATACGATATGCTGACAAAAAG